CCGACATTTTTGATTAGTGCTTCAAGCCAAATTTAAGCATTCGTTTTCCGTATATTTCACATTATTCGCATTTTTAATTTTCTTGTGTCGGATTCGTTTTGCCGGACTGATAAAAAATTTATGCATTTTTATTAGTTAATCTAGAAAACCCGGTATGCAATCAACTAATCATTACTTGCATCCAATCAGAAACCTGGGGTGAATTAGTAAATGCGTGATTTCGTGTATTCGGTATATATATATATCGTTCATTCGGGATTTCGTTCATTCGGTATGCTTTTCATTCGAGATTTCGTCCTTTCGGTATGCTGTTCATGCGGGATTTCGTGCTTTCAGTATACTGTTCATTCGGATTTCGTCCTTTCATCATGATTTCCCACAATAAATTTTACTTTTGCATGTATCAATTTTCAAGTTGGATAAATAATTTTTACTTTGATAACGTGGATTTCACCGCATAATTTGAACAATGATTTATTATAGACCTCAATCCGTTATATCGGCTTTCACTATGTATATCGTATCTTAAGCAATAGCCACTTCACAAGAGCACTTTTAACAAAAATTCTGTCACAAAAAATAAGGCCAGAAGATGCCAACAATTATAAGAGACTACAAGAGCTCTTTTTTTACGGAGAGCCTCAGAAGCATCTTTAAGAAACAATCCAAATGAAATTGTTCTCGTTAAAAAAATGTTTCGTACGCTTTTTTAACTTAAGAAATTTTTATTTTCTTTTACATGTGAAGAAATAATATCTTAAGAAATTATGGTAATTGGACTCGATGAAAAAAATGTCCTGATATTGTTTTTGGTGAATAACAAAATCAATCAATATGCAAATTGTGTGTGTATATATACGCTAATGTTTCGTGCTACATGATTATATTGTACATGTACCTTTCTGCCAATAATCAAATAATAATCCCAATTACTAAACTACTCAATATACCGAGATAGAATAGCAGCAAATATCATCATTATTCCACCAAATCGAATAACCCAAGCGACTCCACCAGTCTCATCTCCGTCATTCATGTCTTTTACAATCTTGAAAATTACTGAACTAATAAACGCGGTAGCAAATTGCGGTAACACAATGTACATATTGTGAACACCTAGTATCATCCCCGCATCGAATTCTGACGATGCTGTTGTGGCTGACAAAGATACAATTTCATCATTGTTTTCTCCACTATAAGTTTGTGAATTGGAGGATGCTGTTACTTCGACAATTGGTAGTTTGCCCTTTGCGATTGATGCATCTTGGTGGTGAGTATGTGATGGTGATAATTGTTCTTCAAGATCTGATGGTTTATCGAGCGAGGCGGTCGAATTTTCATTGCTCATGACGGCAGTAGTACCATTGACATCTTGTACGCATTCTTGATCGTTTCTACTGACAAATTCTCCTACAAGCGCATAAGGAACCCACATTGCGACTGCCCACGGAATACCCAAAACAGCGATTAACAGCATCGCCTGAGAAATAGTGCTCACAGCAAACGTCAAAAATGCTAATACTGCCACAATGAGATGTGACACCGTATAAATATTGTAGATGGTGAATGGATTTCTGGTCGGATAAGAGTTTGGCGTCAATTGTGGTAAAATCATACCAGCGACAAATGAGACTATGGAATAGAGTAATAAACAGAATGATCCATATCTCACGGCTGTCATAAGTTCGTCGTCGTCTTTGGGCGAGTAAATATCAACTATCCATGTTGTACTAATTTTTTGTTAAGTGTTAGAAATGTTGAAAATGTTAAAATAATTAATTATCATGGTTTACCTTTACCTATAAAATAGAAATGGGAACCATCCCATCCAAGCAAAAAATTGTACATTACAGACTTTTTGAATTGGTTCTGGAAAATAACGGACAGCTCGATATATATATAATAGGCTTTCTTTTAATGATCTGTATAATAGCAATAATAATAAGTGACATAAATCTATAAACAAATACTAATTAAATAATACAAAAAAAACATACTTTTCATCTCCATTAATAGGCACATGAACCTTCTCGGTTACACTCAAGCAAGTAATTATTAACGACGCAATCAACATAAAGATTGCAATATTACAAAGTCCCTTCATTTGACTACTTCCAAGCCATGGTAACCAAGATACCAAATTGATGAACCCGGTAAAATATCCTACGAAGTTTCCGATATGTATCATGCGTCCCGCCCAAGCATTCCCAATTTCTTGCTGCCAAAGTGGAGAAATATCGACAATGAGAGCTCGACAGGTTGCCATTATAGCGTTCAGAGAAAAGTCTAAGCAGTAGAATGAGATTACCGCTATCCAGATTGAAGCCCTTTTTAGCTTTTCGTAAAGAATAACGAAAAATATTTTTATTTAGTCTTTCGTAATCACCATTCAATTTAGAATTAAACATGCGCGTACCTCATTATCCAAGAAATAACTTCTCCGCGACAAAAAGAACGCTGCCAATTCATTCGAATAAGCGACGCCAAGCAACGACAGACAAACAAGTATTCCACTGAAAATCATAACTGGTCGACGCCTTCCATGTTTGAATGTACTTTTATCGCTGAACGCTCCAATCACCGGTTGTACTATTAGCCCCGATAACGGGCCCGCAAGCCAAACAAGCGCGATCAGGTCTTTTGATAGTCCTAGGGAATGGAGGTAAGGAGTTCCATAACTTTTTGTTGTTTAGTTCGAGGAGTGTGAGCGCGAGTTGATATTTTAGAATGGGTCCGCCGAAAAATAGTTGAATATTGTTTATAGTATATATATAATATTTAGCTCAACAAATTATAAAATGCAATACTTGAAGAATCCCTCGCCCAGCACATCTTCATTATCATCCCGCCTCCCAGTAAATCAAAATCACAGCACGATTTATATTGACTTCGAATGGGAACAAATAGACCATAAAAAAACAACAAATATAGAGGAAAATTAAATATAGGAAGGTACTCACGCAAACTCCACTGTCCCTAATATTATTATTTTATTATTCAATAAATTAAAATATAGAAATTATAAAGTTTTATATTGTTATTTATTGGAAATGATAAAGAATTGAAGGAGAAAATAATAAGAAATCAAACTTTTTTTTGTTCGATCAAGAACACGACGCATAGAAAACCAAAATAACAAACAGTGAATTAGGAGAAACAACAGTAGAAAGAAAAGTTTGATAAACCGAACGCAGTTAAACTCGTTTTTTGTTTATTTACTAAACTATAAAAAGAAATCAAACGCAACTATAATTCTTTTTATTAAAATTAACGAAAATCAACCATTTCAATTTTTTGAATTTATATGCCATATTACTTTTGTTCATTATAGCGTAGTTGTCATTGCAGAATATTAAAATACCAAGAATACTTACAAGTAAACTGTATGCCAGCCATACACATAGTCAATTTCATCATATCCCAAGTATTCAAGTCTCTGATTGAAATTTGACTAGCGGTTTCGTTCATGTAACCATAAGAAGGCACAGGCACCTTAAGGTGGTCTCCGAGCAACGGTTTTCTGTGATCCTGAGACGTTGTCATTACTACGTTTACCTTTGTGATTAATTATGTTACTACTTTTACTGCAAATATAATGTAAGTTGTGCATTAGCAGGCGAAAAGAATCAGCCAGCTTTATTTATTGTTTAAGAGACAAAAAAAATAAGTAATGGTCGTTAAATAGTATAAGTAATAGACATAACAAAAGAGATTTAATCTTACTTTTCGAAAAACAGAACAAACCCTCGTTCAAGTTTGACAAAGTCACTTTATAGATTGGGGATACTATGTATTACATAATATCACACAATTATATCATGCGTATACCAATACGGGAACTTTGGATGGGGTATACCGATACGGTACATATTAGATCAAACGAATAAGCCATCCATACAGCCGGTCGGCATTCTCAAGCTGTTATATTAACATTAACAAATAAATTGTACATGTTGCGAAATGTCTGTTGATAACGTTGTCAAGGTACATATTTAGCAAAAGAAAAATTTTTACAGGAACCCTATTTTTAATTTTATTCAATTTTCGTTATCGCTTTCAAAGGTTGCTAATATATCAGCCTTGGTAACCGAACCAATTTTGAGACAATTATTTGAATATTTGGGTGAAGTCATTAATCTAAAATTACATAACAGGTTTTTTTGCAAATTCTTATTTACCTTGATACTTATTTCTTCTAAATCTTTAACAATGCGATATACTAATTTAAAGCTTAATTGAAAAGTCCTCATGGAGATGGTGTGCAAGAATGCATCGTGGAATTCAAAGACACCTCGTCTGCGATAACAGCACTTCACCTCACTGGTGTTGAATTAGGAGATCGTACTTTAATGGTCTCTTCAACCACTGCGCCAGCCGGGATAAATGACTATACAAATCCATTTCAACAACAAATCCCACCACTATTGACAGCAATAACGCCACCGAGACCTCCGCCGTCGATGAAACAAATACAGTCAATCCCACCAAAACCGATGGCCGCTGTAGTTTCAGCAGCATCGATTCAACCAATATCGGCGAGCTCACTTGCTGTGATTCGTGCAAATCCGGCCATTTCACCGACAGTCGCGCAATTTGATCCCGCGAAAGCTGAGGAGATATCGAGAACGGTTTATATTGGGAATATTAATTCTTCGATATCTGAACCGGAATTGACGCAGTTTTTTTCGGCTTGTGGACCGGTCGCTTATGTCAAGATGGCTGGAGATCCGGCTCAACCTACTAGATTTGCCTTTTTGGAGTTTGCTACTTATGAGGGCGCGCAGGCTGCTATGCAGATGAACGGCGTTATGCTTGGAGAGAGACCTTTAAAGTGAGATCTTATTTAAACATATTGAATAAATTATAATTCTTGTCGACCTAAGCTGTTGTGATTTGTTTCCAGGGTAAACCATTCAAAGAATGCTATCAATAAAACACCGAAGAAAAATGATGCTCCTGATGTTCAAGCGACTATGCGACGAGTTCGTGAAGCTCAGGCAAGAATTCAAAGCCGTTTGAGCACCAGTGAGACGACCCAACCTGACGATAGTCCTAATGGTAGTGCTCCATTGGAAGATATTGTAATGGAAGATGCTTCTCCTGTCCCTGATGTAAAAACTAGAAGACGTAGCAGTTCCAGGTCTATTAAACAAAATGGAAGTAAATCCAGATCCAGAAGTATAAGCAGAGTTAGACGACGTAGATCGAGATCAAGAGATAGAGGTAAAAAATGCTTTTTTGTCAAAATGTTAGGTTTTTGGAGACTAAAATTTTAAATTCAATTTATTATTAAAGACCTTGCTTTAGACTATCATTATCGCCATCGGCGTTCTCGTAGTCGTTCAAAAGACCGTTTTCGAGGTGCGTTTATTATCAGATTGTTTAATTTGAACGAAGAATTACTAAACTGTTATTTCTTAGGTGATCGCTACCGTGATCGTGACCGTGATCGTGATCGTGACCGTGATCGTGATCGTGATAGAGACCGAGATCGGGATCGTGATCGGGAGCGAGAAAAGGAAAGGGAAAAAGATCGGGATAAAGATCGCGAGAGGGAACGAGAACGCGAAAAAGAAAAAGATCGTAGTAAAGATAAGGACAAAGATCGGGAGAGAGAAAGAGAAAAGGATCGGAAAGAGCGAGAGAAAGAGAGGAATCGAAAGGAGCGTGAGAAGGATCGAGAAAGAGAAAGGGACAAGGAAAGAGATAAGGAAAGAGATAAAGAACGAGAAAGGGATAGAGAACGGGATAAAGATAGAGAACGAGAGAGGGAAAGGGATAAAGATAAAGACAGAGAACGAGAAAGTGAAAAAGATAAAGTACGAGAAGTCGAGAAGGGAGACAGGGATAAAGAACGGGAACGAGAAAAGGATAAAGATCGAGAACGAGAAAGAGATAAAGAACGAGAAAAGGATAAAGAAAGAGAACAAGAGCGTGATAGGGATCGGGATCGTGATCGTGATAGGGATAGGGATCGTGATAGAGATCATGAACGAGATAGGGGAAGAGAAAGAGATAAAGACCGTGATAAAGACCGTGAACGGGAAAGAGATAGAGAACGAGAAAGAGATCGCGATCGCGATCGAGGCAAAGAAAAAGATAAGGATAAAGATAGGGATAGAGAACGTGAGAAAGAACGTCGTGGGTCAAAAAGGTCAGGATCTCGGTCTCCGTCTGCAAGTCGTCGTCGCTAAATCTACACCAATAGATACAATACAACTGTCGTTACTATCACTACTCACTATTAATTACATCATCACATTAGGCATAAAGTTTCCTAACTTGTTAATTATTCAAAAATATTTGAGCTATGTAATTTCTGGTTGTTTGTAAAAGACAGCATCTTCAAAAATATAGATTGATTCATACAAAATTTTTAAATAATTTAATCTAATACCTTTGTTTAAAATGTTATGTGTAGACACATAATTTTAATAATAGTGTATATTATAAATAATTACATTTTCGTAAATCCAGCTCGCCCATCTATATACTAAGTACAAAAAGATGCGGCTAACCATAGTATTTTACACTTCTATCAGTTTTAATCACAACAAAATGATTAATTCAATTCAAATAAAATCAATAAATAAAAAATAGTCAAATTTTAATGAATAGAGGAATCAAGCTATATTCGCTAAATAATCTTTAACTTCAGACGGCGTCAACTTTCTAAACTTTGGAGGATCCTTTTCATTTACATAGTTTGCCTGTCCACCATCGATTACTCCAATCTCAATTGAATTCTCAGTCATTTGTCCTTCGAATCCTTCCTTTAGGGTGAGAATTGCAGTGTGTATCGCGTCTTCGATTCCAATGTCATCGCTGTATCTGAATTTGAGGTTTTAACATTTAATTTCAGTAGACTGAAAGAGAAGTTTAGTTAATTAGGGAACAGCGTTAAAAAAACCTTTTTTCCAGAAATGTTTTTGCATTAATCATGTTTTTCCCAATTGCGGATGCCTTCCATGCCCAGTAAGTACCAGACGGGTCAACTTGATAAAGAGATGAACCTGTCTCGTCATAGCCTGCTACAAGTAAGGATACGCCAAATGGTCGAACTCCACTATAATAATCATAATGAAAATAAGAATAATTGTATTAATCAATAATATTATAATATTATAATAATATAAATCTATAATTCTTCATTTTATATATAAATAATAATTCCAGTAACATGCAACGCACCCACTCTGCGTATACTCTTGCATAACACTCGCCACCTCTTTCACCAGAATCCCTGTTGGCGGATATTCACGATACACTTGCTTATATTTCTGCGCAGCTTTCCGTGCTTTTGTGACCAACACCCGAAAATCTCCGCCCATTCCAGAATATACGATCCCGATATTTGGGCAGATGACCGCGACTTTTTCGAGAGAGGAATCGTCGATAAGCGGAGATGGGGTCTTTTTTTCAGTGGCAATCACGACACCATTTGTTGCTTTTTTTAATTTTGGACAAATTGAATAATTTTTTTTAAAGCATCAATGACTTCAAAGATTGATAGAATTGATTTAAATTTAAACGAATTAAAAAAAAACAAATCAAATTAACGATCTTGACGATGATACCTTTTATCCCGATACTTGTAACCCCAGCAGCCACGGCATTCAACGCATACTCAATTTGGACTAACTTGCCAGAAGGCGAAAAAGTTGTCAATGAAAAACTATGTGCACATATTTTAATGCAATAAATGAATAAAAATCAAAGTAAAAAAGCAGATAAAATTAGATCGAACTTCTATAATGGAATAATGACAAAGAAAAAATAGGACATGTTTAAATTGGCTTTCTCTCATTTTTTGCCTCATGAACAAAGCTATATGGTATTGTTAGATGGTATGGTTACTATTTTTACATAATTACCTGTAACGATCTGTCATTGTTATCTGTCTTTAATAATGGTAATAACTTGTTATTAAAACATATGAATTCTGAAAATTTTAGAAATGCAAAGAATAATAAAACTTTTATTTATCTTACGTGTTAAAGCGGTACAGATAAGCCACAATCCACTACCCCAGCTCGATTTTCCCTTCACATGATTTTTCCGATCTCGAAACTAATGAAATTCGCACAAGAAAATGAACAATGCTAAAAATACGGGAAATAGATGTAAATCTAACTTGTAGCACTAATAAAGAATGACGGGAAGACAATTTTACATATAATCTTACTCCAGCTCTATAATTGTTGTGGCTGAAAAAATCGGATTATAAAATCACGTGAAGAAAAATTCGATTGTGGATAATCCTGAAATTTTGTCAATTCCGAAAAATTCTACTGTAATATTAATTAATATTAGAAGGTTAACTCCTCCGACGTAACCACCAAAATTCGAACATGTGACTTAATGTGGCTTATATATCACAAACATATAATATATATAACTTATAATTACATGATCTAATTTAATCCTTTAATCTTTCGATTCCACTAAAGCCAGATAATATCATGTGATTTTGAATTCGATCCGGATCTAGATCATGTGAAAATTTCACGTGATAAGTAATAATTGGCTGAATAATTTTGATCAACAAATAATCATAATAAGATAATTTCATGTGATAATAGCCAATAAAAATACTAGTATTGGCTCATAAGCTTTAATATTGAATAAATTCATACTAAAAATACTAATCATAAAGTTTGCGAAAAAAAATTTATTTATAATTTACTTAATTATTAATTGTTATAATTAAGATTAAATCTGGTTAATATTAAAATCGATCAATGAAATTAGATAATATGTAAAATTAATTGATTAATAAAATATACTAATTTTAATATTAGTCAAATTTTAATATTAACTATTATAATAACTTTTATTAAAGAACTTGATAATCAAAAAATCTAATAATTTTTTTATACTAAAATAATATATTATATAATTTATTTTGTTTTATTTTAATTGAATAATTAATTTATATATCACATTTTTTTATTTTATATTATTTATATTTTATTTATATTATTTTAATTATATTTATATTATAATTAAAGTTCAATAAAGCAAATTTCTAATAAAACAAACTTGTATTAAGATGAAAAATTTTTAGAAATCAATCTATTAATAAAGAGCTTGATATAATATAAATAATACTTTATAATATTAAGCAAAATTTATTTTTGAATAATCTGAAATCTTTGATTTATTAACTTTAACTATATTTTATATTATTATTAATATTTTTATTTTAAATAAAAATTAATTAATATTATCATGATATAATATTTAATAAATGATTTTATTAGATAATAAAAATTTTATTTATTATTAAATTATAATTATTAATATTTTATTGGATAATTATTTTTAATAAGCTATTATTTTATTATGTATTAATATCTTAGATATTATTGATTCTTAAACTTATATTAATAATATTAATACTTGTATTAATATTAAGAATACTATTATTCAAGTTCTTTTAATAGTATTTATATAGCAAAAAATCTTTAATAGGTCTCTTCTTACAGTTATAAGAAGAGTTAATGAGTCAAGTTAAGTTTATAATTAAGAAGATTATATATTATAAGTTTAAAATAGTTTTATTAACAAAGCTTTTTTATTATTATATTTTTCACTATTACTACCTCAATCAACACTCTGCATATAGATTATACAAGTATATAATACAAAAATAACAATATTACTAAATTATTTCAAGTCTATAATCAAAATGAAAGGAGAATTATAAGATATAATACTTGTCATATATAATTAAAAATGATGTTTTTTCTTATTTTGCTATGAAAAAAATTGAAAATATATGAAAATTTACAAATATACAGTTTTATATATTGCAATTAAGTTAATTTAAGACTACTTATAGAATAATTTATTATAATTATCTGATCAAATTCTAATAGTATACTTTAAATAAAACAAAGTTAATTAATCTAAATGATAATTTTTTTATTACGTTATAAAAATTAATCAAAAATATATAAAAATTTAAATATATACACTTTAATATATTGCAAACAAGTTTTTTTAAGATAACTTAGTATTTTAATATTAAAAAAGCTAAAAGAAAATTTTTTAATTAAATTTAATTTATAATATTATATCAAAATTAA